CCCCAAAACCCCAAAACCCCAAAACCCCTTAATAAACTCATATTTAAAAATGGAGGACTCTAGCACAAATTCGATGCTTGAGCCAGCTTTACGGGTAATATATTTTGTCCAAGTCCGTGGGAAATAAGACCTGATAAAATTCCACACAAATATTTGACATATGCGCTAGGTCCTTCAGATGTTGATTTTTCGTCATTTTTGATTCCCCGATGCTACTTTCCACTCCTTGTCTGTTATAGTTAGGAAGTAATCTCTCAGTATTTGGTGCTAGAAGACGTACTGGAAAGTGACCTTATGTTTTTAGGGAATTTTCCAAAAACTTCTGAATTTATGCGATAATTTCCAAGGCCAGACCAAGAATAATTATCAAGCAGAAGCAGAGGCAATGAGTAAGAATTCTCTCTTTCTTGTAGAGTGTCTCTTTGAGAACAAAATTAACCAACTGAAACTTCAAATTATGGTTCTTCAAGAAGCTAGTCAGGCAGATTCCCTCGTTCAGTTGCGTGACCGTGTAATCGAAGATCAGGTACGCCTCAGCCTCATAGTTTAGAAGAAAGAAATCAGCTCTGTAAAGAAAGAGCTCCAGAGAGTCAAGATGCTCTATGTCAAGCACAAAGTTTCTATTGGAGATTACAAGAAGAGAGTGAGAGACTTAGAATCAACTAACCAAGTAAGCGAATGTCTCAACTTCAGATTTACTACAAAAAGATTTCAGAAATGGTCAAACTCAATGAGAAGCTTGAAAATGGGTATAAAACCATCCTCGCCACTAAGAAAAATCAGGGTGAAAACTCTGAACTTAAAAGCTCCTTTAATAGTATCATCAAAATTAATAAATAAGGTTTTTGCCGAGATCAAGAAGGTTATCAAGGTATTTTAGAGAATAAATTTGTAGGAGAAATACGAAGAGTTGAAGAAGAACCCTCTTGATGATCATAAAGCGTTAGCAGATAGTTTACAAAGTCCTACTTCGCAGTTCAAAAAGATATTAATGTCTCCTCCACCACAGGCTAAATCTGTGAGTATGCCAAGAGAGCTAGAATCGTCTTTGAAGGGAAGCGAATTTCATTCAAAACCAAAGGTATATGGTAACTAAAGCTGTAGTTTGCCACAACTTTAAGCCAAGATAGATTATTTGCCAGTTGATTAAAGGAAGTAGCCAAGAAGGTCAAGGTAGCTTCAGCCTGTAATCTTGTAGGAAAGGAACAGCCTGAGAAACCTACAGTCTTATTACTCAATGAGAAAACCTGGAAATGACTGGAAAATGACCCGGGATGAGAAAAAGTAAACTATCTATAATCTTTTAGGTTCTTAGTCGAAACAATGGTGAGTAAGTACGATCAGCAGAGGAGATTGTCAGACAGCTCATCCAATATGACTACAGTCAATAACTTGAGAGCAAAGAGGCTTTCAGTAACTTCCTTACTAAGCCAAAAGCTAGAATAAACTTTCAAAATATTTCTTTTTAGAAGGGGTTTTGGGGTTTTGGGGTTTTGGGGTTTTGGGGTTTTGGGG